GTAGCTGAAAATATATTACATGCACAGTACTAAAAAGTTTTAGAGTTAATTTTTTTTCGAAACTGTTAAACTAACGACCATTATTTCTAATATTTAATAATTTATTTGAACATGTATTATACAAACTTTTATATGTGTCTCATCAATCATTCTTTGTTAACATAATTTTAATAATATGATGGATTCATCATAGATAAAAAATTAGATTGAAAATTAAAAAGGAATAAAAATAAAATTGTTTTCTTGAGAGATAATATCAATATAAATCCAATTCTAAAACTTGGAACATCATACATAATAATCTTCACATAATAATCTTCATTTTTAATTTTTTTTTAAAGAAGAATTTATATATAATTTTGTTTTTGAAGGTAGTGGCTCATATTTTGAATTACGGAAAGCATATGTCACTGTGGACTTAGTTAAATCAGCTACATTTAAATCTGGTGGTTGTTATATGTTTAGTAATTTGAGAGGTTGTGATGGTGCTAGAGTTTATTTTAATGGAGGTTCTTGCATTGCTTTAAATGGTCAGATTTTAAATCGTGGCAAGCAATTTGCTTTGGATGAAGTAGAAATCACTGTTGCGACTTTTGATTTGGAAGATATAAGGTCTGTAATATTTACTAAAATTCAATTCAACATCTTTAAAAATTGTAATATTCGTTAAAATTTAATTTCAATTTAATCTAATTGTTTATTTTTTTTTTTATAGGAGTTATAGAAACAATATTAGATCAAGATCACATCTAGCAGCCAGATCACCAAGTTATCCACGTGTAAAAGTAGATTTTGTTTTAACTTCCGAAAATTTGATTTCCACTCCTCCAGATCGACCGATCGATATAGATCTAGGTCCTTACGAAAATGAAAATATAACGGGAAAACTTTCTTATCATACTGTTGATGAAGAAATTTCGATGGCACCTGCTTGCTGGCTCTGGGATTACTTGAGGTTCATTGATTTATATATAATTGAATAAATTATACTTAATATAATTTTTTAGTTTTGATTTTTGATCTAAACGTTTTCTAATGATTTTTATTTTTTTCAAAAGGCGTTCTTGCCAAGGTGGTTTCTTTTTACCTTTGAGTGGTGGTGTTGATTCAGCTTCATCAGCATGTATGGTTTATTCTATGTGTGATATGATAGTAAACTCTGTTAAAAAAGGAGGTATGTATTATTATTTTTCTAATCATAAGAGGATATATTTAATAAATGATCGATCAGACCTACAGGTATTATCTGACATCAGGAAAATAGTTGGTGATTTTGAATATGTACCAACTGATCCAAAACAATTATGCAATATTCTGCTAGTCACATGTTATATGGCAACTGAAAACTCATCTGCTGAAACAAAAACACGAGCTGCCGAACTTGCTAACCAAATTGGTTCTTATCATCATAGTATAGTTATTGATGCTGCTGTATCTGCAATTTTATCTATTTTCCAACAAGTCGCTAAGCTAACACCAAGATTTAAAGTGCAAGGAGGATCTCCTAGAGAAAATTTGGCTCTGCAAAATGTACAAGTTAGTTTCTGCTTTTTTATAATTTTTATGAAAAGAAAATAAATAAGTTTTAAATTATTTATTATAATTTTTTTAAGGCTCGTTTAAGAATGGTAATATCTTATTTGTTTGCTCAATTGATGCTCTGGGTTAGAGGACGACCAGGTGGTCTTCTAGTATTAGGAAGCAGTAACGTTGACGAAGCGCTTCGAGGATATTTTACAAAATATGATTGTAGTAGTGCTGATATCAATCCTATTGGTGGAATAGCAAAGAATGATTTAAAATCGTTCCTTTCTTACTTTAGGTTAATATTTTAATAATTAATATTTTTTAAAAAGTTCTTTTTTAAATATATATGAACAATTATTAATTCTGTTTTAGAAAAAAACATGAAATAACGGCTTTAGATAGTATTTTGGATGCTCCTCCAACTGCAGAATTAGAACCTCTTCAAGCAGGACAACTTGCACAGCTTGATGAAATTGATATGGGTATGACATATCAGGAACTTGGTATTTTTGGACGTTTAAGAAAACAAGATTGTGCTGGACCCTTCACAATGTTCTGTAGACTTGTTCATATGTGGGATAAATGTACTTCAAAAGAAGTAACTAATCATTAATCCTTGTCACTACAAAATGTATTGACATTTTTAAATTTGAATTCATTTATAGGTAGCAGATAAGGTGAAACACTTTTATAGATGTTATGCAATAAATCGGCATAAAATGACCATCTTAACACCATCCTGCCATGCAGAAAGTTATAGTCCTGACGATAACAGATTTGATCATCGACCTTTTCTGTACAATCATACGTGGAAATGGCAATTTAATGCAATCGACGAACAGGTTGATTATGCTAGAATGTAGAATGTATATCTAGAATAAATCAAGATAATTTTTTTTTCTAAAAAAATCAATCATTTATCATAGGTGAAACGTTTTCTCGACGAAGAGAAATCACCGAGAGGTCGAAAGGATGTGCCGAAGGTACCGATGAAGCCCAGATACATGATGCTCAGCTCCGTAATTAGTAGTGAGTAAATAAAAACAAAAAAAAAAAAAAAAAAAAAAAAAAAAAAAAAAGTAGTAAACAATTAATACGACTGATACAAGCTCGAATCGTGGAGGAGACAAAGC